TTTTAATTTGCTATAGAGCACATGTACTCACGAGAGAGAAGGAGAGAGAGAGAGAAATTAAAGCAAGCTGCCAGGTCTGGACTCAAACTGCAGTCAGCCACATGGGAATCCTGCACCTTAACCACCATGCCACCTGCTGGCTGGTCCCTAAAAATAGATTTTAAATTTTGTTATAACACAGCCTTTCTTTATGCTTTTGCCTAAGAATATGGCTCCCTACTCCTGGGCCCCTTCCTGAGGGTTCTGTGATACTGCTAGTGCAGGGACACGAACGCAGCTGTTGTAAAGGAAGAAATCCTAGGCAGCTAACTCCTGGCCTCATGTCATTAGAAATGATGACAAGTTATCATTGGGAAATCTCTTCTGAAAATAAAAATTATAGGGGATACATTTGAAATCCTGTGTTCCAAAACCCCTTATTTGCATTGGTATTTTTGCTTAGAAAGTCTTACTAATGTTATTTACAATTGTAAAGAAAGAGTAATTATTGTAATCATAAAATTATACCTGTGTGTCCTAGGTGCATTCGTTTGATGGTACCAAGGAAGCAGCAGCTGCTTTGATTGACTTGGATCTTTATATAGGGTTTAATGGTTGGTACGTTCTTGGGTTGTTTTTACTTCTAACTTATATAGTAGATTTCTTAATTGTTTTACAGAGAATTGCTGATAAAGATTTATTTTTATTAAAGTGTATGTTTGTTTTGCGTTGATTCTTGCCTAGGACTTTTAGTAATTATGTAAGAAATTAAACAGTGCATAACTATTACAAATTAAAGCTCAGACGTTACAAACTAATAATACCCTGTGTTCTAATCATGGAAAACATTTTTTATTGTTGTTGAGATCAGCAGCTAGCTTTATCTTGCAATCCAATTTTTTTCTCAGGGCATTTTAAAACATATACATACACGTCATGTCTGACCATGGGAGAAAGGTGATTTTGTGACATTTATCTTACATCTCCCTGTAGGCAAAGAACCTCAGACTCAAAGACGTTAAGAAACAGGTATAAAGTTACTCCAAGTATGAGATTCTGTGTCTTCTGGCTTCTTACTGGCTGACCTTTCAGCTGTAATATCATACTCAGTCTCATGCACTCCCTATAGTCAGTCAGTGTAGCTAGGTCCCTGGGCTTGTTTTCTGTCAAATACATAAGAGCTTATGCCAGTATCTTTTCACAGGATGTCCGGGTAGCTCATCAAATAAATTGCAAAATAGTATAAGACTTGTTTTTCCTCTTCAGTGTTTCATTCTCTTAAAATTATTACTTTCAAAAAATTTATTTCATGAGAAAGAGACAAAACAGGTAAGAGACATTTCCTGGACAGGGTCTCACCATGCCACAAATCCCTACTCCAAGCCTGCCAGCTAGGCAGGATTACAGGTATGCTTACAGACTTGTCTAGCATGTTTAGGTCAATCTGAAAGCTGAATCTGGGGGCTTCCCAAATACCCCCAACCTCACCAGTGATGGCATACTTCCTGTACCACTTTGGCTTGGCCAAAATGATCACTTTTATGATTATATTATTTTTGGCTAAAATCTCTTTGGGAAAATAAAATCGTGAAATTATTTATTTGCTATAGAGTGTTTAAATGTCCCAGATTATTCTTTCATGTTTCAGTTAATTATTTAAATAATTTATAACTTAATATACAAAGAAATACCTATATAGGGATCAAGAAGTCAATTAGTACTAGAAGATTTTTTTTGGAGATGTTTTTGCTATAGGGCACGTGCACTTGCCAGAAAGACAGAGACAGACAGAGAGACAGAAAGTGAGAAATGACCCCCCTCCAGGGGGGATGGCCAGGTTGCAATCCCTTCTCCTCCATTCTCCTCTCGGGATCTTGGGCACGCATGCACATGCGCCCGGCGTAAGTTTAAGCCATCGGGTCCGGGACTCGAACTGCAGTCAACTCCATGGGAGTCCAGCAACATAGCCATTATGCCAACTACTGGTCTCTACTGTTCCCCAGCAAGCCACCACCCCATGTAAACTTTTCCATAGGCACGCACTTCACTGTTCGTCACATTTCTAAATAATATTCATGTACTTGTTATGTCCTGATTCATTCCCGTTTGCCTTGTCTCATTAAGATGAGCAGTTAGTTTTATATCCCATACTAGTCCCATTTCCATTATTGCCTTCCTATTTCACTTATTGTATTAATTTGATAATTTTGGATTATATACATTTCTAAGAAAAAGAAAAACTCAGTTTTTCCTACAGTTTACTTACAATACAAATCGGTTCTATAATGCCCAAATATGTGAGCATTTCTCCCCATCAGTAAGCAAGAAATCAATTCTGCAGCACATACCAGGGGGCATCCTGTAATCCAGTTCCATTCTGATACTTGGAGAGAATGTGCAGTTGAGGCTCAGTCCAACACTTCAGACACCAGTTGCAAGTCTGGGCCTCCAGAACATCTGACCAACCAGCTACAAGTTGGGGTTCTCCTTACCTCTTTAGGCTTGATTAATTTGCTAGGGTGGCTCACAGAACATTTAGTGGTTTACTCATAAAAGATATTTTAAAGGATACAAATAAACAGCCAGATGAAGAGAGAGAAAGGGGGTGAGGTCTAGAAAGCTCCCCAACACAAGAACTTTGGTCCCTACGCAGCTGGGATGCATCACCACCTTGCATGCATTCTTTTTTTTGTTGTTGTTTAAGAATTACTTACTTTGTTATTATTATTTTTAATTTGACTAGAGAGAAAAAAGGAAAGTAAGAAAGAAAGCCATCAGGTCCAAGACTTGAACCATGGTTGGTCATGTGGGAGTCCAGCACCTTAACTACTGTGCCACCTGCTGGCCCCCCTTGCATGGATTCTTGTTCCCTTCCTGCAAACCCCCCTACAGGTTCAGCTTTCCAGGAGCCCCCGAACCCTGCCCTCTTGGGTTTTTAATAGAGATTTTATCACATGAAGTTTTCCATGCAAGTTCGAAGCATGGAAAACTGTGAAGAAATGTGCTTGAACAAAGGGGTATGATTTAATGTAACAAGCTGAGCAGGGAACTGCAAGGCCTGTCTGTTCAGATTTCTTCTTGGCCTTCCTGTACGGTGTTCCTTCCAGCTGTGGGGCTGGAAGGACCCTTCTGAAATAAAGGTCTTGTGATTTATTATCAGGAAATCAGGGAGAGATTAGAGTTTCTGTGGCCTGCCTTGGGGAAGAAAAGGAGGTTAAGAGAGGGCAGGAGGTTGTCAGACTGTTCTTGCATCTTTCTCTTTCTGAAGCTGTTCCTCTGAAGCTGTCCTAGGGCCAGCCCGTGGCATGGTAGTTAAGGTGGCTGCATCCCAGGTGGCTGACCATGCGGCTGAATCTGGAACCCAGCACCTTGGGAAACACACAGGGCAAGTGCGTGCATGCTCAAAGTCCTAAAAGAGAGGAGAAATGACAGAGAGCAGACTGCAGTGTGACCGTCCCCCATTAAGGGTGGGTGTTTTCTCATTTCCCTCTCCTCCTCTCCAGTCTGTCTTCAGGGAATGCATGCACCCTCTGGCAAATTAAACCAACCAACCATCCAACCAACCAATCAACCTAAAAACTGTTCTTCTGGGATCAAAGATAAAAGACCAAATATATATCATAACGACACATGCGTATTCAGTGCGTTCCTTTTGTCTGTATAAATACTGTTGACTGCTGCATGCTTACATTTTTTTCTTGTACCACTTTTTGTTTTCCTGGAATAACTTTCGGCATATTTTATATACTTGGCTTTCTTCAAAACTTGAAGCTCTCTTCTTACACTTTGCACAGCTGCATGAAATTCCTTTACCTGTTTTTCCACATAAGGAAAACTGTCTCACTACGTCTGGTGGTTCCATTCATTCCAGACCCTTCTGTGTGTGTTTCAGTTTGGACCAGTGTGTCTCTTCAGTGACTGAACTATTCTTAGGTCTCATGTATTTTTGTTTCGGTGGAATACATCTCTAATGTTTACCTGAGAAAGTTTTCATGGGAACTAAGGTGTTCTTTTTTTTGAGATTTTGCATGTTTAAAAGTTAATTTGTACTACTCTTCTTCTTAAAAGTTTGCCTGGAGAGCTAATGAAAGGGGTAGGGGAACCCACTTTCCATTGATAGTTTTTCTGGACATAAAAGTTGAGATTAGAAGTAAGTTTCTAGGGGACCAGCAGGTGGCGTGGTGGTTAAGGTGCTGGACATTCCCACATGCTGACCATGGTTCAAGTCCTGGACCTGGTTGCTTGTTTTCTCACTTTCTCTCTCTCTCTCTGTCTCTCTCTGGTCAAAATAAAATAAGTAAATGAATAAATAAAATTAAAAATAAATAATTATTAAAAAAAAAAAAGAAGTAAGTTTCTAGGGGCCTGATGATAATGCAGCAATTAACACAGTGCTTACAGAAGGGTGACCCATATGGCAAGGTTCCCAATTTGTCTCCGGAGACCTTCCTAAATTTACTGGGTACATGTGTGCCCATAATCTGGGGCTGGCTGAGACCCTGTCAGGGATGCTTCTGTTTCTTGCACATGGTAGAAATATTTTAAAATAATTTTCAGTAATAATTAACAGTGTCCTAGCAATAGGTTCAAGTGTTCGTAGAAGTTAGTTGCTTTTCTGATTCCCAGTCCTTCCCTTGTGACTGTCTTTTCTGTGTAGAATTTTCCAGTGGAAGATTTTTTTGAACCATGAGATTTCAACAAGGTGTCTTCGGATGTTTTACCATTCCCTGTGCTTCTGTCTTGCTGGCCCCTTCCAGGTGGAGGTTCATCTTTGTCAGTCCTGGGGAAATTTTTTTTTTTTTTAATTTTTGTTCCTATTATTTCCTTGGACATTCCAGACTGAGAACTCTGATTTTCTTTTTATTGTACAATTTCCTTCTCAATTTTTTTTCCCTTCTAAGAAAGTATTTTATTTTTCAATCTTTTAAATGAAACTTAGTTCAAGTTTTGTTTCAATCTCTGAAAGCTCTTTGTTTATAATCTTATTTGACAAATGTATCTTCTCATCTCTTTAAAGATATTATAAAGTTATGTTTTGCTTTCCTTAGTGCTTTTATTTCCTCTGTTTCATTTCATTCTGGTCTCTGTCAAAATGGAGGCCTTCTTCAAATGTCAAGCAGGCCTGCACTACTTGGAAGCCATGAGGGAGGCAGCTCATCAGCTGGCAGGCTCAGATGGCCAACTGACTTTTTCACTAGAGATTTCCAAATGTCAGTTTGTAGAGACCTTTTTTTCTGGTTTGGTTTAGTTTCTCCAGAAAGGGATCATCTGATCCTTGCTGGCAAAATGGGTTAGGAATTTACAAATGTACCTGACAGGATTCTGGAGCAGGATGGGGTTAGATCAGTCAGCAGTCGCAGTCTCCATTTTCAGCCCCCTCCTTACCCCTGCATTCCTCTGTGCTTACACTTCTGCAGTTCAGTCTCTGATGTAGGTTCTCCAGAGGCCCTGCATTCCTCTCTGCACTAAGGTATGAGTAATCTGGAGTTCATCTTTTCTTTACCCAGACTTTGCAAACAATACCTGTTCCAGTTCCCTGCCTTATCCCAACTTTTCTCAGTACCTAGTTCTAGTTCTCAGACCTTAGGTGAACTGGTTTGTTGTTCTCCACGTCTGTCTCTGTAGACATAGCATTTAAGCCACTTAGCACTTCAACACAGGCCATTTATCATTCACTTAACGCTTTACATGTTGTGATGAGTAACATGGCTCCTACTTTAATCAAAAAATGCTATTTGTTTTTCTCCTTCTGGGGGTGATTGCAACAGAGGAGATAGAAAGCCTTTATTTCCCCAATTTAAACCCATAAATCTTACAGTCCTACTTAGAGTTTTCTGAATGATCTTGAGTTTATAAAGACGTAGCTTTAAGCTAATCACAGTGATTCCCCTCCCCCCTTTTTCTACAATATTAGCTTCAGAACTAATGGGTTAATCATATTTAATCAAAGTCAATTTAGGAACCAGCAATTAGCGTAATGGCTATGTCGCTGGACTCCCATGGAGTTGACCATGGTTCAAGTCCCAGACCCAATGGCTTAAATTCACGCTGGGCACATGTGTATGCGTGCTCAAGATCCAGAGAGGAAACTGGAGGAGAAGGGATTTCGGTGTGGCCATCCCCCCTGGGGGGTGATTTTTCAACTTTCTGTCTGTCTCTCTGTCTTTCTGGCAAGCATACGCACCCTATAGCAAAAACCTCCAAAAAAAAAAAGTCAATTTTAAAATTATATATAATAATTTTAAAATTCAACTCATTGTAATCTTAATTCTAAGTCTCTAAGATATGGTAACTTAATCTATTTATAGTATCTATCACATAAAGTCTTTGGTTTCTAAAGATTAGAGAAAACCCTCAAGAAAATGGGAAGGTATGTTTAAAACTTGATTACAGAATCATGCAGTTGCTTGTCATTTATGGGAAACCTTATTAGATGGAAATACTGATTAAAAAGACTTCCTTTGTTAGTATCTATATCTGTTTGGATAAATTTTTTTTAGAGAGAGAGAAATTTTTGCTATAGGGTGCTTGAGAGCCACAGAGAGACTGAAAGTGAGAAATCATTGCTCCCCTCCCACCCCGAGGAGCAGCCATCTGCTGGTCCCAGAAAATAGATTTTAAATTTTAAAAATCCTCTTTAAAAATTTATCCAAGGGACCAGTGGATGGCGTAATGGTTACATCGCTGGACTCCCACTTATTCAACTGCAGTTCAAGTCCCAGACCCAGTGGCTTAAAACTAACACCCAAATCCCAAGAGAATGGAGGAGAAGGGCTTACTGTGTGGCCATCCCCCCTGGGGAGGTGATATCTCACTCTCTGGGGAGCACACATGCCTCATACCAAAAATCTCTCAAAAAGATTTTTAGTTAACTCTTTTTTCTTAGATATGATAGTAGTATTGTGCTTACATTTTATAAAGAATCTTTATCCTTTAGATACATGCTAACACATTTCCTAAATTATATGCTGAAATGCAGAAACTATACAATATTAGGAATTTCTGTTAAGAGACAGTAGAGTTACCTGGATGGGACAGGATTGGTTAGGGATTGATGAGGGGGCTAGATGATGATGAGTAAATAATCTGTATTATCCAAGTTATATATAAATAATTTATATGTATATATTTATAATTTCATATACATATGAAATTCTCAAATGCTAAAAGCTGTAACAAGTGCTGAAATGAAAAATGCAACATAAGGAAGCAACCAAGATGTTCTCTGGTAGATGAATGGGTAACTACACCCAGACGATAGAATATTATTCAGTGCTAAAGAGACAGAGCTATCAGGCCCTAAAAAGATCTGAGGGAAATTTACATGCATATCACTAAGTTAAAGCAGTTCTGAAGAGGCTACACAGTATACAATTCCAATAATATGACATTCTGGAAAAAGGCTAAACTATGGCAACAATATGATCAGTGGTTACCAAGGGAAGGGAAGAGGGATGAATAAGCAGATCACAGCATTTTTAGGACAGTTGAAACTGATCCACTATGGTGGATACATGCCATTATATATTTATCCAACCCATATAAAGTACGATACCAGGAATGAACCCTAATGTAAACTGTGGACCTTGAGTGATGGTAATTTGTCTGTAACTTGTTCAGCTGTAACAAATGCACACTGTGGTGTAGAATTTTTAGTGGATGAGGCTCTATGCAGGACATGGGTATGTAAAGAATCTCCACCTTACACATGGTTTTACTGTGAACCTAAAACTGCTCTAAAATTAATTAAATCACAAAATAAATCTGTGACTATACAAACTTTCAAAAAGTAACACTTAAGGACAGTGTTGTCAGAACATTATATATAGTAAACAATGCCAAACCTCATTGGCATATTATGGTAGGCATTTATGTTTACACTCAAGGGTCTCTAGGAAGTGCTGGGATTTTGCTGATAAGAGTTTGAGCACTCTGCTGTATGCTGCTGGCTCTCTGAAAATAACCAACTTGCCATTCAAACACAAATATATCTTTCAAGGCTATCGCCACATCATCCCATTGGCCCAAACAAGTCTTGAGGCCAAGGCCAGATTTAAAAAGTGGAACTCATCCTAAGAAACTGTGCCTGGGTGTAGATGTATAATTATATTAAAGGAGAGTGAAGAACTGAGAGCAGTAGTCCAGCCTGTCTCAGGGGCTAAAAAATGAAAGTTAAGCAAATGTAAGTTAACATCCTTGAGTACCTCTTAAGTTATACAAATTATTCAGAAGCAAATTCTTTTTAAAAAATCAAATTCGGAGGACCAGCAGATGGCATAATGGTTACACCACTGGACTCCCAGGTAGTCCACCTCAGTTCAAGTCCCATCCCCCTGAGGATGATTTTTCATTTTCTGTCTCTCCAGTGAGCACATGGGCTCTATAGCAAAAATCTCCCTAAAAAGTAATGTCAAATTTGGGGTCAGCAGGTGGCATGGCCGTTAAGGCAATGGATCCCATGTGACCAGGCACCTGGTTCAAGTTCTAGATCCAGCAGCTTGAAAATCACGCTAGACATGTGTGCACGTGTGCATGTCCAAAATCCAGAGAGGAGAATGGATAAGGGATTGCAGCATGGCCATCACCCTGGGGCATGATTTCACCCTTTCCCCACCATCTCTCTGGCAAGTGCACACACCCTATGGCAAAACCTTAAAAAAAGAAAAGTTAAATGTTAAACTTAAGTTGATACAGAAAGTTATTGGAGAATCACCTTGATAGGTAAGGAAAATTGTATCCCTCCCAAAGGCAGATCTGGTTCAAATAGATCTTAATCTAGATTTTGTGAAGGATGAGAATGTGCAAATACTATCTAAAATATACTGAAACAAAATCTCTTACAGGGTTTCGGTTGGCTTTGTAATTTTAGGCATTTATGAAATAAAATACTCATTAAATTCTACCTTTTAAAATACACCTTTTTTTTTTAAAGCTCACTGAAAACTGAGGCTAACTTGGAAGTTTTGAAGTCAATACCTAGTGAAAAATTAATGATTGAGACTGGTAAGTTTGTTTTCAGAACCTTTAAATTTCATATTAAACCATACCAAAACAAAATCTAGAGACATTTGACTTTAAGTTTACTGTTAAAGTGAACATATATTTTTTAAATCAGCATGCTCATCCTCAATAATTCTACCTTCCAGAAGATTTTTGGGGTTATCAATTGAAGGAGAAGTATTTATGCAGTTTTTTTTTTTTTCTATTTTGGAAGTTTGGCTAAGCCTAAGCACTTAGTGGGACATCAGAATATGTGATAAAGAGACTGTGACTATGAATATTTAATTAAATAAGGAGTCTTGAGGCCAGCAAATAGCGTAGCAGTTACGTCACTGGATTTCCATATGGCTGACCAGTTTGAATCCCACACCTGGTGGCTTGAAAAATCACACTGGGCACATGTGTGTGTGTGCGCCAAAGATCCCAGGAGGAGAATGGAGGAGAAGGGATTGCAGCGTGGCTACCCTCCCCACACACACCCCAGGGTGATTTCTCACTTTCCCTATCACTTTCTCTATCTCTGCCTAGCATATGCCCCCCCAAGGCAAAAAAACTTAGTCTTAACTAAGTATTTAAGGTTTCAAAATCTATTCCAATTTTTTTTTACCTAGTTTTTTCTTCATAATAGTTTAATTCTGTAACACATTTTTTTAAAGAATTATTTTACTGAACTTTATTTATTTATTTATTTGGTCAGAGATGGATAGAGATTGGAGGGGGGAGGAGAGTTAGTAAGAAAGCCACCAGGTCCAGGACTTGAACCTCAGTTGGCCATATGGGAGTCCAGCACTCTTAACCACCATACCACCTGGCAGCCCAATTCTGTAACATTTTAAAATTGCAAATGTTTATACCAAATTGGTTTAATATAATTTGGTTTGGTATAATAATTTTAGCATCTGTTGTCTCTTAAAGTTAAAAGCTGTAACTTTTATTTAAAACCTATAACTGAAGTCTTTTATTACCATACACTTCAGGAAGTCAAAACTGAGCCATTCTGGAGAAATTAGGTTTATTTCCTTGGGCAGTTGTAAGAACTAAATGATTTAATTACAAGTACAATGCTTATAAAATACATATTACTATTCTTTATTACAGAAATAATTAATAGCCACTGTTTCACACTCACTAGTGGCAATCCAGAAATGTAACTTAAACATTTTCATGTTAGATTTGTATTTTAGGTTTGGGCCTCTTTTTAAAGTATGCCATAGACCCAACAGTAGTGTTAGCAGGGGAAAAAAGGCATTAAGAGTTGGAGAAGGTATTTAAGATATAAAATTTTATTTTGTATTTTTCTTAGAACTATTTTCTATTGCATTGATTTTGATGTGTTAGAGGCTGAATCATGGTCTCTGATTTAGAGGTTTTAAACAGACTTCTTTTTTGGTAAAGCTGACTTTTTCTTGAGACAGAGCAGGATCTTAGTGCCACAATCCACCCCCACCCTTAGTCAGCATGGAGGACAGGCATGCATGTGCAGGCACCCAGCATGTCCTAGGAAGCAAACCCAGGCCCATTCCAATGCAAGTCCATTGCACTATTGTGCCACCATATGGCTCCTACAAGTTACATGTTAAGTTGATAATGTCCATTAAAAAATAAAATTCAGGGCCAGCTAGTAGTGTTAAAAGGCAGTTGGATCTTACATGGCTGACTGCACTATACTATTCAAGTCCCAGAGCCAGCAGCTTAAGAAAAAAAAAAAAAACACTAGAGAAGGGAGAAGAGATTGTAGCATGGCCATCTCCCTCCCCACAAAGTACTTTCTCACTCCTGCCTTTCTGGGGTGTCTCTCCTGCAAGTGTACGCTCACTATAGCAAATAATTTTTTAAAAAAAAATGTAAAGGTAAACCCTTAACAGAACACTTTCTTTAACTCTAGATGCACCTTGGTGTGGAGTCAAAAGTACACATGCTGGATCAAAATATATAAAAACTACATTTCCTACCAAAAAAAAGTGGGAAAATGGACACTGTTTAAGAGATCGAAATGAACCCTGCCATATAATGTAAGTATTTGTTTTCAAGGTCTTCAAAATAATTAAAAATCCACCAAATACTATTTAGAACATGAACTCAAGGGGCAGAATTTAAAAAGTTTTGTGTGTGGAATCCAAATGAAGTTAAAGACCACCATTTTGAATGTAGTGATTTGGAATAATTTGTACTGGAAGTGCTCTATCTAGTTCAGCTCTTTTCATATGCGGTGAGAAATTCACGATTTTGGTCATCTGTCATTCTGTAGGAGAGGGAAGAGATCTTAAAGCTATCCATATAATCACCTTCCTGTTTCGTTCTATTCTCATATAGCTTCCCCTGCTGCAGTCTGTATCACTGAAGCTTCAGCAGAATTTGTGTTAATGGTGTCTGCATCTTAAATGATTTGACAACCTGGCTTAAATCTAAGAAATATTTAAGTTTCAGAACAAAAGAACTGATAGGTTTTCCTTTTCCAACCTTCCACCCCAAAGAGATAGAAGTTTACAGAATTTTACTTCTATAAAAACAGTTAGTTTAGATATTTTTTAAAATTATAACGTGTAGCACATGTGAAAAGAGGGGCAATATATTATACATCTAACTGTCAAAGAACTATAAATAACATAAAAAACAGGAAAGGTTGGTTTTATCATTTTAATGGCCACATAATCCAGTTTTTATTTGTACAAATAATTGAAATCTAGACTATAGCAGTGTAATGTGGTTCACCAGTTCAGACAATTGTGCACACTTATAAGACATTCATAAAAATGAATATTGGATTGTTACTTTGAGACTGAAATAACTCCTTCCATGTTTTTAACAGGTAAAATGAGGTAAGCCTGATCTAAATTCTGCAGGCAGAAAAGTGAAGAACAGTTCTATAAAAATATATTTGAAACATTCTTTTCCTTTTTTTGCCAGCAGCCAGCTTAGAGGAAGTAGCTTCCCACTGTGTATCCAAGTCTACCTTCTGCACTGCTTTAATCGTACATAAAATTATAGCTCTTGACTTTAGCTATATATTTGCAAGATAAAAATCTCAAGGTGTTTCTAAATGTAGACTGTTAAGAACCATGAAGGCTTCAGTATCAGCTGTAATGATGAATATCTGTTCCTCAGTTAAGTAGGAAAAGCTTGGGAAAATCAACATTTGCAAGCTGAAAAATTTTTAAACGTTTCAACAGTATACATGTTATTCCACTCTATTGTCATCTCCTGATTAGCAAGTTAACTCTCATTCACAAAGTCATTTTTATCACCCACCATTCTGTTAACAGTTTACATTCTAATTACATAGGGGTCTTTCCCCTCCCTATTAGATTATAAATTCCTTGAAACTGACATTTTGGGGCTCCTGCTTTATGTGAGAAGAGGTACACATTACTAAAGCTACACAGAATCAAGACAGTCCCTGCCCTCATCCATTCACCAGATGAATTGGTACATTGTGCTAGGCACTTTGGATAAGGCATTCAAAGAGTCAGTCAAGGACCCCTGCCCTCCTTGGGAAAACAAGCAGATACAGTATAATCCAAGATGGTAGTACTACTGTAGAGGTATGACTATATGGCAGGGGCTTTAAGACATAGCCACTGTCTGTCTTGAGGAGTAGGAGAGAACTCTAAGGTGACATTTTAGCTGCATCCAAGCATGATGGAAAGCGAGGCTAGAGAAACACTTTGAGCAAAGGCAGACTGTAGGACTTGACTGATCCAGGGAACACTGAAGAATAGTGTGACAAAAAGTAGGATGCATGGGGTAAAGTGGAAGAAGGTAGTTTGGGAAAGGAGTGAGCCCAGACTGTGAAGGCTCTTGTATGCCAACCTTAATGTTAATAGTTTGAACTTTACCGGGACCAAAAGGATTTTAAGCAGAAGAGTGGCAATTATTTGTAAAGCTGTAACTGGTATCAGTATACGGAAGGAGACTAGTGGCAATCTTAGAAGATTTTAAAGCCCTGTGCCTAGCATAGAAGTGCCACATTAAATAAAAGTCATTAAATTCTTCATATTCTTTTTAGAGTAACTGCAACTTTAGGCCACAGAACATATATATGGAAATAGCTTGAATTCAAGTTGTCCAAAAACAAACTTCATTATCAGTGTACAAAATGGAATGTTCTAGTCATCTTCATTGTACTTATAGGTAATTCCTAAATGCGACTAGAATGATTTTGCTATACAATGTCACTTTAGCAAGGCTGTTGTGAACTTCAGAACGGTTTATCATCAGCAGCACTACTTAAGAGTTCCAATTCTGAGTAGTCCATACAGAGGAAACTTACGTATTTTACTAAGAACACTGGATTTTTACTGTTTTAAAGTGTTAATAGATTTGCTTTTGCTGTATTTTGACTGTCATATAACAAAAAAAAAACTAGTGTAATCAGTTAGTATACATATTAAACAATGCTTTGTGTCTCTCTTACAGAACAACAACAAAAAATTCCAGTTAATCTAAAATCCCTATGTCTAATTCCTTTAGGTGTTTACATTTAAATACCCATTACGGAACAAAAACTAAAGACAAAGAGTAAAGAATGTTTAATTTTGAATTTAGAACTAATTCATGTATAAAAATATTCTACCTATGTATAATACTGCTAGGATATACTAGTAATATCATTCTAGACAGAGAAATGCAAAGCTGGACACCTGTGCTATTATTTTCTCTTGCAAAGAAAAAAGTAATTGGTGGAAAGGCACCCTCACACACACACTCCAATAACCACGTGATTCTAATAAAGTAACTTCATCAGCTGTCATTGTATTTAGCGATCATGCAGCTATTTCTTGCTCTCTAAAGAACTAGTTCTCTAAACAGCTTTCAAACTTTGGGTGCTCTTCCCCCAATACAACTTAAAATTGTGATTCATTATACACATACATACATAAACCCAAACCAAAAATGGATGGTACTTACCCTAAATGCAATATACTTTTCCTTTTCTTTTAATTTATTAAATGCTCATCATGACCCACTAAAGATGTGTTAAGACCCAGTTTTAAAAAACTCTTCATTTCTACTGAGTTTAACTTCATGACTGGTGCACATCATGTAGAAGGGTGGTTTTATACCTTACTTGAACCTGTTTTTTCTTGGTGCTAGTAATGTGCAAGATGGCCCCAGAAAATTGTCTATTACCTGTAATAAGTTAATTTTTCTACTGAGACTACTGAAAGTCTTAATAACTGTTAAGTTTTACTTACTGTATTAAAGGTACTAGTACGGTATCTTTCTGACATGAAGAACAGATGGTTCTTAAATGGTTTTAAAACAAAATATAACTTGAAATTTAACCATCCATTTTTGTTTTTGTTTTAGTCAAATACTGGAGATAATGTCAGCAGTAAGAGATGAGGATCCACTGGAGTTAGCCAATACACTATATAACAACACCGTTAAAATTTTTTTTCCTGACATGTAATTGGTAATGTCTTCCATTTTCTATCATGTTTATAAAATTTCATGTAAAACTGAAAGTTTCAATAAAGAAATTACGTGAAAGTTGTCTGAAGTATTATATTTCACAGCACACTGTCCTCCTCAATTCTACCCATAAAAATCAGATCAGGATCTTTTATATCATTTAATGCATGAATTTAAAACAATGAAAATCCCTAACTATTTTCATTTTGTAATCTCTTCAAAAGTCTGAAAATCAATTTTAGGACAACACTGCAAAGACAGAATGGCTAACAAATACAATGATTGTACATAAAAGTTAAATAATTAGCACATTCTGGTTGATAACAAAGTTTAGTTGATATAAGCTCAGTTCTCAGTCTCTGAATCATGACTTTCAAACCCAGCTCAACTACACTCTACTCAAATTCTAAAAAGATTTCTCACTTGCTTTTGGCAGGTGTTTACTTTCAAAATTACCTATATATAGCCTTTATCCTCTGTTCCAAATTATTTGATTTCTTTGACTTTAATGTGGTTTCCTGATTTGTGTTTTCATTCTCCTACCCATTTTAAAGAAAAATTAGGGTCCAGAGTTAAATACATTGTCTAATTTCAGTGAGGAATCTTTGGCACAGTTGACGCACCGTATGATTATTATATCTATTAAAAAGCTGTTTGTTCAAATTGTCAAAAACGTGAAAACATTTTATTCTATGTACAATAATGTACACAAATTTAAATAGGTCACCAAAGAGACCAGAAGTAATTAAAGAGGTATATTTACAGTAGCACATCACAGTAAACGGAAAACCATTCACAGATTCAACATTGATACTGTTTTTGTGCTTGGTTACACACTGAAGTGAAGCATATTACTCCATTTTAGATGAACTGAATCTTAAACAAATACCTCAATGATTAGTAAATGCTATTTTAATCAGTATCATCATTAATAAATTCTTCAGCTGCTGTGCCTGTGTGTTGAATCACTCCATTTCTTTCTCTCTGATCATCATCATCACAATCTGTACTGTCATCGTCATTCAATTCCCTGTCAGATTCAGCAGCAGCTTCTCTTACAATTTCCTCTGGGTTTTCATTAGGTGCAATAAATCCATTGTTGTTGGATATATTTGAATTATCCTTGATATCATCTTCGATGTACACTTTTTGATGGCACATTGGACAAGTATCTTGAATGTATAGCCATTTCCGAAGGCAAAGTGCATGGAAATAATGATTACACGGTGTAATACGAGCAGATGTTGTAAACTCATGATAGCAGATTGCACATACATCATCTATTTCTTGCAAGCGGCTCCCCTTTATTTCAGGAAGTGAGTTAATTTTCTTAACAGCTGTCCTACGATTCATGAATGTCTTCCAGCCATTTTTTGCTTGTAAGTAGATGTTGAAATATGCATGTAGGCACATCATACAAGCTCGAATTTTACTTCCTGACTCAAACATCATAGTATAAGCCCCATTTCCAAACATTACTACTCCAAATATAAATTCAATAATATTGCCTGTTGAACGAACATAGTAGACATAATCATCAAGCTTTTCCCAGAGGACATTATAGTAGCCATCAATCATGAATAAGGTATAAACAGTGAGAGAAACAATTACTTTTAAGCATAGTTCCACGCAAAAGGCTGTAACTGCAAACAACCATGTATTTAGTGCATAGTGATGCCAAAGAACATAACTGAGTAAAACAGGAAGAATAAAGAGGCAGGCAGAGACAAACAGCACAGGAAAATGTCTACGAAAAGATGACACATGAGAGGCACTGAGAGACATCAATACAGGGTCTGTCATTCCATGGATGAAATGCAGGACTGCAGTTAATAAAAGGCACATGTTTCTACTTAAGCGAATAAGTCTCTCCTCTGGTCTTAGCCCACTTAAACCAGTCTGAAGAGCCAAAATAAAAAATAAAACAGGTGCTACAAAGCCAAGCCGCCTGTCATCTTCTTCAGTTGATCCAATAAAGGCCAATATTCCAAGCCCCAAATAATGGGCTATTGAGGAAATTACAGCACTCATGCCCAGTACAGTTAGTGTAGAATCACATCCACTAATTATAAGATTACAAATGAGGTCCCAGAAATCATCCCAAGAAATAAAGAAGGAGTTGGTTTCATTTGCCATCCTTAAAATGTACATTAACACTGAAGCCTGAGCTGTAATTCTTGTTAGCCAAAAGACTCGTAGTATATCTGGGAAACGAATCCTCTTCCATGTGTCCTCCATCAATAACTGTAATCCATAAATTCGATACATATGCCTAACTAAAAGGTAAACATACCGTGTAGAATAATAAAACCATTTAAGTTTCACTGCCAATACAAGCACTGTATTTAATGTGAGTATCAAGGAAGAAGTAAAAACTAAAGTCTCTCTGATGTGTAATGGTAGCTCTGTGATTAAGCCTATTACAGGAACCAAGAGATCCAAAATAATTAACTGTGAATAGATGGAATGAATCTGGAGTAGAGTAATATATCCAATTCCAAATGTTAACTGTAGAACGATGAGTGCCATCCACAGCGAGGGACCTTTTCGAGGAAGCAGCTCAATTCCAAAAGCTGATGTGTTGTAGGCACCATAGAAGTCAATGTGCAAAGATGCGTAATAATTCACCAACACTGAAGTTGCAGCTAACAGAAAGGCTGAGCTGTACATGTAAAACTTGAAAAGTGATCGCTGTGACAAGATCAGAACAACACTGGATACAAATATACCTGTTTAAAAAAGAAAAAAAGGAAAGGTTATTTGAAATATTTTAAAGACTGTTTTACCTCTAGTTATGGCATTCTTCCTTTAATTAGGAAATAGTCATATTTTCAAAGTTATGAACATTAAGCCTCATGATAATTTATGCTTAAAGACCAATAAAGATTTTGTAAAATCAAAGTTCAAGCAGAGAGACCAGGCCAGCAGGTGGTGTGGAGGTTTAAGGCAGCTGGATCCCACGTGGCTGACTTTGCAGTTCGAGTCCAGGACTTCGTGGCCTGAAAATCATACCAGGTGCATACCTATGCATACTCTAAATACTGAAAGGAGAATAGAGGAACTGCGGCATGGCCATCCTGCTACAGGGTGATTTCTCACTTCCCTCCCCTGGTGAGTGTGTGCACCCAATAACGAGAAAAGGGGGGGGGGTCAAGCAGGGAGTGTAAATTATTTTTTTCAATATGCTATTCACAAAGTGGTAAATTAATCTTCACTAGTGACTAGTCATAAGCGTTTCTATAATTTCATAACCAGTCCTTCCTATTTTTCTTTTTTTTAAGTTTTTGCTATGGGATTCAAAGAGAGAGGGAGAGAGAAACTGAGAACACAACCCCCACGTGCAATGGCCATGCCACAATCCCTTCTCCATTCTTCTCTCAGGATTTTGGGCACTGAGTCTTGGACTCAAACCATGTAGTCAGCCATGTGGGATCTAGTTGCTTTAATCACCACACCACCTGCTGCAGTCCTTTTTAATAACGTTTTTCCTCCTGAAGTTTATTTTTACACAGATGAAGGGATAATTGGATTAGGAGATACTGCTGTAGAAAAAGTGCCATTTTGTTTTTTACAAATATACCAAAAGCAAAGGAGGGAAGGGATGTAACAGGCAATGAAATGAGACTATAACCTCAAAGTCCAGCCACAGTGGTGCAGCAGTAACACAAATCCACAAAGCTAGAGCAGTATGGAAGATCTGGGTTTGCTTCCCAGGTTGACCTATACATGCGCCTGTGATACTGGTTGGCAGGTAAAGCTGAAGGAGCATTGCAGCATGAGATTCTGTCAAAGGAGCGGTCTCTCTCTCATGAAATAAACAATACTAAACTAACAATAGAAAAACCAAAGCTGGACAGAGGTGTCAAACAGTGCAACTGGGGCCACATGAGAAGTCTTGGTTTATTTCCCAAGACTTCAGTGTACATCTTGGGTGTGCACACACATGCCATAATCCAGGCTGGTTGAGGTGTGTAGACCCTGTTGAAGATGCCTGCCTTCCTGGCTGTCTTGCCTCTCTTTAGCTTTCTCTCTCGCTCATGAAAAGAAGAAACTAAGTTTGGATGTGTCCTACCAAGTAACAATCTGATACTATTACCTGACAAAAATCACATCTCCAGGATGTAAAGCAAGAACATTTCAAGAACAGTACACACTTGTCTTAATTCCTATCAAAAGTTTGTAAGTAGGGGGACCAGCAGTTAGCGTAATGGCTATGTCACTGGACTTCCCACGTAGTCAACCGTGGTGCGCGTCCTGGACCTGGTGCCTTAAAACTCACACCGGGCGCATGTGCGTGCGTGCCCAAGATCCCAAGAGGAGAATGGAGGAGAAGGGACTGCAGCATGACCAACCCCCCTGGGGGGTGATTTCTCGCTTTCTGTCTCTCTGTCTGGCGAGCGCATGCGCCCTATAGCAAAAACCTCTCCTGAAAAAAAAAGTTTGTAAGTAGATAACATTAAAAAAATGTTTTTATGCCCCTATTCCTATCTGTACATATGAAAAGAATGAATCAGCCCTCATTTTATGGGGATGGAGGTGGGGGGTGGGGAGGTCTTAACTTCCCAAGTAATAAATCTCCAAAGTAATATTCTCTCTCATAGCTTTAGGAGGGATTGGTTAAATCAAAGTTCCACTGCATTTTTCACAACTTTATAAACATGAAGCTCCCTATTGGCTTTATTTCCTCAGACCTATAGGATTTATGGGTGATCTCATAGGTAATAGTATAAGACCGGCTACATATAAATGCTTCTTGATAAAGAAAAAAGTACTTTGGGACACCAGAGAATAGAATGAACTGAAATCACAACTCAGGAATCTCAGTCAGTTCTCCAATGATTAGTTTTCACTGAATTTCTCAAGGAAGGAGACAATGCAAGTACCAAGAGCAATTCAGGAGCTTTGAAACTGTATGGGAACTATACATAATTCCAGAAACAAGCAAATGGAAACAAATGGGGGAGGAACCACCACACATGTTATCCAACAGAGTTAGCTCTTTTAAGTGTAAAGTTCATTTAGATCCTTAAACTCTTCTGGAAACTAAAAATTAGAAGGAAATAAATCATTTTACTAAAATGCCTTTAACATGAACTAAAGCATGATGTGGAAAAACATTTCTCTATCCAGCAGAAGAAATATGATGAACAGAAATAAATGTTATTACTACTTTACACCCAAGAGAGCCCTAAGTGCAGAAATTTAGTAACAAAGTATCTTGAAATGTTAATATTTTGGTATAGTTGATTAAAAAAAAAACTTAAAACAAACCCTCATATTAGGTTTAATGAAAAAAAAAAAAAAGAACTGGGCCCGGCAGGTGACATGATGGTTAAGGGTGCTGGATCCCACATGACTGACTGCAGTTCAAGCCCTAGACCTGGCAGCTTGTTTTCTCACTTTCCCTCTCTCTCTGTCTCTCTCAGGTCAAATTTTAAAAAAATAACAACAACAAATGGAATCAAATAAATTTTTTTAAATAGTTAAACCCTTAAAGAGAATTATTAAGTGAAGAGTTAACAAATGTTTCTAGTCTGTCTTCCTCATCTTTGATACTGTGAAATATATACAAGAGCACTTTAAAACATTCACAGAAGGGGCCAACAGGTGGTGATTTAAGGCTCTGGACTCCCACATGGCCCATTGTAGTTTAAATCCTGGACCCAGCACCTTGAAAATGCCAGGCGTGTGTGCATGTATGCTCAAAGTCCCGAGAGAATGGAGGATAGGGGCTGTGGTGAGGCCATCTGCACTGGGGGGTGATTTCTCACTTTCTCTCTCTCTTTTTCTTTCTCTCTCCAGTAAGTGCACACACTTCATGGCAAAAACCTAAAATAAAATAAAATAAAATATTCACAGAGAACTATTAACTATTAGTTATTAGTTTGTTATTAGTGCTGGCCCTATAGCACAGAGGTTAAGTGCTGCACAGAGGAAGCTGGATCCTACATGGCCACAGGGTTTAATCAGCATGAACAGGGAGGTGAATGGTCGGGGGCAGGGGAGGGTTAGTGGTGGTGGTATGTATGCATATCCAGTATCCCAATAGGACCAGGACCGAGAGGAAAAAGTACTGTGGAATGACTGGGGCCTATTTGAGGGGTACTGTCTCTCTTTCTCTTATGCCTGAACATGCATCCTATGGCAAATAAACAAATATATAAACTGAATTAAAGTCAAAGACAGATATATTTTGGTAAAAAAAGCTACTGAAAGCCATCTATAGTTTTTTCACACTATGCAATTTCTATGAACTCAAAGACTGATTCCTCTTATTTGGTTTTTGTTCCCATTTTCTAACATATAGTTTCTAAAATCCCTGGAATCTAGACTAGCTAACAGCATGGGATCAAGGCAGGTGGGTTCCACATGGCCAACAGCATGGTTCAAGTCCTTGACCTGGCAGCTTGAAAAACACACTAAGTATGTGTATGTACCCAAAATCCCAAAAGGAGCAGTGGAGAGGAGACTGCATCATGACCATACCCCTAGGGGTGGGGGCAAGGGGTGTGTGTGTGTGTGCTGGCAAATTTTTAAAATTAAAATCCTTGGAAGCTCTGCAATCTACGAGAGTGACCTGTAGGCTAATCAGATGACTGATGGCTGGTAGCCTCCGGAAACCCTCAGGATGGAGCCTGGTTGCCAGGAAAACTAACCATGTGATTAGAGGGTTGTAACTTACAGTCATACCCCCCCCACACTCTCACCTCTGATGAAGAGAAAGGAGCTAAAGGTTGAGTAGATAAATCATTGGCCAACGATTAATGAAGTTTCATAAAAACACAAAAGAATTAAGTTCTGAGGGTTCTTTTTTTAAGGTTTTTGCCATAGGACACATGTGCTTGCCTGAGAAAGAGACAGAGAGATGGAGAATGGGAAAGTGAGAAATCATCTCCCGAGTGGACAGCCACATCACAATCTCTTTTCCTCTTGGGATTTTGTGCATGCACGCTCACGTGCTCGGTGTGAATTTCAAGCTACCAGGTCCAGGACTTGAATCACAGTGGACCATGTGGTGGCCTTAACCACCATGCCACTGGCTAACCCCGAGAACTTTTTAATAGCTCAGCACGTTGAGGTTCTTGAACACCCAGAAAGGGCACTAAAGCTCCGTTCCTCCCTCTCCTCTGCTTCTCCACCTCATCCTATACATCTCTTTTACCTGGCTGTTCATTTGTATCCTTTGTAAATGGGTAAAGCTAAGTACAGTAGTTCCCCTTATCCCCCTTATCTGAGGTTTCTTTCACTTGTAGTTTTGGTTACTCACAATCAAGATCCAAAAACAGTATTAATAAATAAAGAATTCCAGAAATAAATAATTCATAACTTTAAATTTCACACCATTCTATATAGTGAAAATGACATCCCTCACCATCCTTACTCTGAGCACATATCTTCCTTTTGTCCACCATATTCATGCATATCTAAGCTTTGCCTACCATTAGTCACTTAGCAACCATCTTGGTTATCTATCAGATCAATTGTTGCAGTACCACAGTGCTCAAAGCTCATGTTTAAGTAACCTCTTATTTCACATAATAAGGGCCCAATGTGCAAGAGGAGTGATGCTGGCAATTTGGTAATGCCAGAGAGAAGCCATAACACCTCTTTTAAGTGAAAGAATGAAAATTCTCAGTAATAAAAAACCAGGTAGGCTGATGTGTTAAAAACTAAGGTAAGAACAAATTCTAAGGCAAAAACAAGATCTAAGGTAAAAATAAAGCCATTAAATTTATGGAAGACACATACAGAACATGTTCCAATGGATGGTAACCTGTTGAGACAGAAAGGACTTCAGCAAGGGATTCCCTGAAACAAGGGGGTTGATTTCTTACTGTCCAATTTACAAACTGTCATAGGTATACACAGAAAAAAAACCATAAAGTGAGACCAGCAGTTGGCCTAATGGCTGTGTTGCTGGACTCCCACATAGTCGACCATGGTTTGAGTCCCAGACCTTGTGGCTTAAACTCATGCTGGGCATGTGTGCATATGAGGCCAAGATCCCCGAGAGGAGAATAAAAGGAGAAGGAATTGCGGTGTGGCAATCCCCCCTGGGGGGTGATTTCTCGCCTTCTGTCTCTCTCTCTTTCTGGCAAGCACAAGCTCCATATAGCAAAAACCTCTAAAAAAAAAAAAAAAAAATTCTGGCAGGGAGGGGAGATGGGAGGTGTCTTAATGGTTACAGGTAGCTGGGTTCTGCATGGCCAACACTGTGGTTCAAGTCCAGCAGCTTGAAAAACATGTTTTATTTCCATATTGCTAAAGTGACTATCCTTGCCCATGGTCTTGGTACAACTTCATCTCTAGGCCAAATCCCCAGAACTAGAATTGAATCAAAAGGTATACAGTAAATGTCAGTTGACAGTGCCAAATAAATGGTTTTACCCAGAAGTTATAGTCTACTAAAATTGTATAAATGTATCTATTATAAATATTATAAGTATTTACCTATTACAAATAGGTAAAAAAAAAACTTTGCCAAACTACTTTTTAAATCAAACTCTGAACTCTTCACTAATCTAATAAATAAAATTTTGTTTTTACTGTATTTCTTTAATTATAAATAAAGCCAAGTACTCATTTTCCTTATTGACCACCTGCATTTCATTTGTAGCAAATTGCCTGTACCAGATCTTTTTTCTATGAAAGTATAAGTTTCCGTATTGACAAAATGAAACTCTTACTAGGACTTTAATCACATACGATGTAAATACGTTCTCCTCAGTCTGTCATTTTACTAATTTTTTAAAGAGTTATGCCATAAAGAAGCTTTTTATTTTTATGTACTCCAACAAGTAACCTGATTTTCCTTGTAATTTCTGGGATTTTTTTTCTTAATGTTTAAAAAAAAATCCTTTCTTACCCAAATGGATTATTATCCTATGAGTAATACTTTTAAAACAAACTCCTATGCTTGCATTTTCTGCCTTGGATTTAAATTTGCTAATTCGGCATTATGCTGCTCGGGATGGAGTTTCATTTAGGTTTAACACCTCCTAAGAAATGACTTTATGTGTTTAAATATTCTATATATTGTCATATAATTTTATTTGGATCTTCAAAATTAGATACTTTTTTCCTAACTTATTGAAATCTTAAATCAATTAGAGACCAAATAAAAGTACAAGGGTAGTACATTTTTGTAGAGGAGCAAAGTAAACACTTCAAACACTACGTATAAAATTGGTAATGCCTTTTACTTAGAGGCAGATTCCATTTACATTAAAAATTTTACTAACTAAAAAAATGAAGCTGACAAATAATGACATTTACAAAATACGACTGAAATATACATTATGGAAAAACTAGGCAGAACAATTAATTTCAACTATTTATTGGTATCTTTTCACAAGAACCAGTCACATTTAATAATATATTTGTTCTTAATTACAATAAATTATAGCTCCACAACCAGTTTTTTTTCCCCATACTTATTCTTAAAAATGTGAATTAGCATAACTATACCGGCATAAACCAGGTGACAGATTTGGAAAATATTTTGTATTTCTCAGAAAATATAACCCAGAGAATATCCTGACCAACCTTTTCAAATAAACAGCACCAACATTTTGCTGATGCAATCAAAAGCCCAAAATCTGCAACCAAGTACTGTATTAACTGAAGCATTAAAATATTTTTTAAAAGCTATCAAGTTTACTAAAACCCTAACACTTAAATCCCCTAGTACTGTTTTAAGCTTACGTCCAAACTCATTGTCCTTAACACCCTATGAGAGAGATACACACCATCACTGTTCATTTTGAAAAAGGTAAAGAAAACCAAGGCACGAAGCTGTCAAGTAACTAGCCTCAAGTCATGTTTTCTGTCAAAAACAAACTCTGATGACTACAAAAATAGAAGCAAAGAGTATACATGGAAAACACCAGTTTGTTCAATATTCCTAAGCTGCAAATGATTTAATTAAGGAAAATACTCCTTTTCCACATAGCTGCCTAGTTTGAGTATCAACAGAGTACTGCATTAAAGAACCAGGTCCCAAAGGGGTTCTCAGAGAATCTGCAGCTACCATGCCATAACAACACTGAAAGCATTGGCTACACTATTTCTGGAATGAGTATGCAGAATAGTTTCAAACACAGCCCCATTTCTGCCACAAATCATGGTGGCAGTATACCTTTGCAATGTCAGTAGGAATGGCTGGAATTAAGTAGCTGGTGGGCTACTCAGAAGACTTACACTAAGGACATCACGGTCACATCTTTCAGTCCTAGGATCTAGCAATGTGATCATTACTACACTATTTGGTATCTGGACTGCAGCTGTACTGAGAAGGAAAGTGTACCACGCTAGTCAAAGGTATTTAAGTCCAGACTCTGGCAATCCCTTAGCAGCTGTGTACCCTGAGCAAAACGCTTAACCTCTATGACCCTCAGTTTCCTCATTTGTAAAATGAGAATAACACCAAGCACCTGAGGGATGTCTGAAGGTTAAATTAGATAATCCCAGTGAAAATATTTTGTAAAAGTACCAAAGGAATGCAAAGTATTGTTATTTACTGTTAAGAACAAAATCCAGTCTCGATTGTCATTCCTTTTTTGTAGAAATAAAAGCAACAGATGGCCCATAATTCAAAGCTTGGAAAAGATCTCACCATCACCCAAACCCTCAGCAACACTTCAAAAGCACTAGCTTACTAAAGGCTGAACACAAGAATTACCTCATCAACAAATTTGCCAAGTTGCAATTATTTAAAAAAATTCTTTTACGCATAAATGCTCCTCACTGTGGTGATGTAAGTGAAGATGGGGGAGTGAAATATAAGTTCTTTTTAACGCTGTTCATATGCAACAAAGACAATGATTTTCAAATGTCTCATCGCTTTCTAGCCAAGTTTTTATCATCGTTTCCAATAGCTTCCCGTTTATTCATGAAAAAGTTTAGGGCTCGTTATAAGCATCCCCTTCTTCATGAGGATTTCTGATTATGGTTTCAAGGTCTGACATTCGAAATCCTGTCTCCATCGCTTGCATGTCATTTACCGCAGGCACTTCACGATCCTGGGGACCCGTGAGTGCAGCACGAGTGACAACATACACTGTGGAAAGGGGGAAACCGAGGCCCAGGCCTTGGCACAGGTCCGGGATCACATACGGCGAGACCCAGAACAAGCGGTGGCTGCTTTTCCGAGGCTGTCGCGTAGGACGCGGAAAGTCAGCACTCACTCCCCGAGAGAAGCAGCAGGCAAGGGGCCGCATGCTCACACATCCGCGCTCGCTCCAGCCTCACTCAGTGCGGCACTGAACGCGGGGCTGACTCGCCGAGAGGACCGCTGGTGCTGTCAATTCTGAGGCAAGTGTCACCTCCTCAATCCCTCCCTGCGGATTCGCCCCTGCAGGGGATGAATCTGTAGTTCTCACACACACACACACACACACACACACACACACTCACGACCCACGGGCAGGCTCCCCCGGCGCGTCGCGGCCCGCAGAGCCGCCCCGGTGGCAAGATACCCAGTGCCCTTACCAAGGAGCCGGAGGAAGATCTGAAACACGATGCAGAAGCGGCCCTGGCTGGAATCGTAGTAGGAGTTGAAGATGGCGTCGATGATGTAGAGGCAGGGCACCCGGAGCCCCACCTCGAGCGCCGCCCAGACCTGCTGATGGGCCATCCGCACCT